GTCTTACAAGAGATGCTGACATCCCTGTGTCAGGAATTCAAATGCCACTTGGCGGGCTTAGAGCACAGTGTTAACAGCCCAAACACAGGCTACCTGCAGGTGAAAGAATCATAAATTATTCCAGCTTCTCACACTGTGTTTTCCTCACTGCTGTGGGGAGGGAACATTCCACAGAAGTGAGGCGGGAAACCCGCTTTCACCAGGCCCTCGAATTTGGTCAATTGTTAATAGAGAGCTCTTCCTGGCAGTATCTAGATGGAGCAGGAATCTGCGATGGTTCTGAATTAACACATAAGTATATTTACAAGTTCATCTCCCACGAAGCAAAAAGGCAAAACAGAATCCCAAGGTTGGAGGGATGATTAAACAGATTTTTCCACCAGGATTTACACGCCCAGGCATGAGGAATCTTGGCTTTCAGCAAAAGACTGACTCTGAGAAAGGAGTTACTGAAGGATCCAGAAGGTCATTACACTTTTCAAATGGACTCCCTGTGAGATAACGTTGTTTATTCAGGGGAAAGACATGCTAAATAACGTTGTAAAAAAACCGCATTGCAGATATACACTGGTTCTCTGCTCACGAATAAGCCACAGCACGTTAGCCAGATGAAGAGCTATTAACTCTGGTTCTGAAAAGCAAGCTTCATAAAGCAATGGATCCTGACCCCTCACAAGCCCCAAAGACCAGGTTTACTTCCAGAAGGCCCTCACGGTCCTCTGTTTCAGTCTGGGCCGGCCCTGCCCCGCTCTCTGCCTCTCTCTCCTGGTGACTAAACCCACACGGCAGAGCCAGCAAGGGTTGTGTCCAGGCCTCATGTGCTCGCTTTTCCAGCTCTCTGCAGAATCACAGCAGAGCCCACTCACAGGCCCTGTGCCCCCACCAGACAGCTGTATTCAGTTGCAAAAGCTCAGACTGGTGGAACTTGTTTTCTGGCTATTGTTCAAGGCAATTGTTCCTGTGAAACCCCTGGGCCCAGGCGGAATGAAATCCTTTGGTGTGGATGAGTGAGCAAGCCCAACCGTAGGCCTGGTAGGAACTCCTGGGGAAGAGAATGGCCTGGCTACCTACCTTTCCCACCACACAAGTATGTTAACTATTTCCTCCCCAGGAGGTTTGCTAGACAGCATCATCTCCTCTAAGCACTGCAGGGGCCTATGGAGAAAACCCACCTTCAAAGAACGCAGCAGGGCTCCTGCAGAATCCTATGTTTCACCGTCTATCAACTGTAACTGAAATTTAAAGTTGTCCCAGACCCTGTGCTAATTACATTGCATGCATTAGTTCATTTAATCCTCACAACTCTATAATTACAACACTTATTGATGGCTTACTTATGCGCCAGGCCCTGTTACTTAAATTTTCCCCTGGGTACCATGGGATATACTAGTACTATACCCATTCTAGACATAAGACAATTGAGGCTTAGAAAGGCCTAAAGCTTATATAACTAAGAAGCATTGAAGCTAGGATTCAAACACAAATCCAAGAGTGTTCAACCACCTCGTTTGTTTATTAATTTGAGGCAATTTAATGAATACCTCTCATGTGTATGACAAGTACGTCAAAGGTTTCCACACCAAAAAAAGATACAGTTACTCGAAAAAAGCCACAAGCAAGCCACCTCTCCCCAGGTTTCACCTCTGGGATCAGCCTACATGATTTCTAGTTCTGGAGCAAAATGTCCTAGAACTTGAGCTGGAATGAAGGCAGGGCAGAGTCAGACACTAACCCCAGCAAATTTCATCTCCTCTAGCAGTGGGCCAGAGCACCACTAAGCCCCGAAGGCTCCAGATGGAGGCAGCACAAGCTCTGGAGAAAAAAGTAAGAGAGACCTGTGATTGACGCCCCGCCGTGCCCTTCACTTGGTCAGAGCACCTTCACCTCCAGGAGACCCAGGTACTTCCTGTGTAATGCAGTGCTAAGAACACGAGTCCTCATAAGCCCTCGGTACAGACCACACCGGCTCTCCAGGCACACAGGACACAACCAGCTCATGTCAGCTGCCGTCCAGGATGCAGGGGACCTGCCGGGACTGCAGGAAGGAGATGCAGGCCCACGCTGTGAAATAGATGATAAAGTTTTAGTGCAAGAACGTGCTTCTTCCTGCTGCCATCAAGGGACAGTGTCCCAGGGGAGAGGCAGCTTCTACAGACGGTGCCAGGTGCAAGGCCAATCACTCAGGGTGGAGAGAGGGAAACGCGAACCCATAAAGAGGGCTCCAGGGGGATTTAGCTGCCTCAGAAGGCCCGGGGGTTGAGTTTCACCCCACAGCACCTTTGTCCCGTTTTGGTAACTCATTCCTCCAACAAGTAGGTGGTCCTCTGAGCAGGCGTGAAATTCCTCCCTTTGGCTCCAGGGCTTGGTCGGGTTAGAAACCCCTCAGGGGCTCCGGGGCTCCCTGCGGATGCCTCATACCCTCATTTTCACAATCGGCACCAGCGTGTCTGCTGACCTCAGCTACACAAAGCCCTCTCTCCTCCAAGGCTCCTCCAGAGAGGGCTGCTGACATTTGGTCCACTGCCAGCCGGCTTTTGCCAAAGACCTCAACAAGCCCATCCTGGTGTTCTGTTTACCAGAAGACACCTGGACCCTAAACATCAACAGAATTCAGCATATTACATACGGCTGATGGAAATAACAGGGAACACTGACCCCTACAAGAGGACAAGTTGTACCAGGGGGCTCCCGGCACCTTGCTAAGCACTTACATACATCATCCCACACACTCCTCCCCATCACTCAGGAAGGCACAGACTATTAACGTTCCCTTTTCACAGATGTGGCATCTAAGGCTTACAGAGACCAGGTGACCCACCCAAGGTGCTGGAGCAAATAAACGGAGCTGGATTTGAACACAGATCTGACAGATTCTAAATCCCAAGCTCTTTTTTTTCTTTTTTTGAGGAAGATTAGCTCTGAGCTAACATCTGCTGCCAATCCTCCTTTTTGCTGCAGCAGGCTGGACCTGAGCTAACATCCGTGCTCATCTTCCTCTACTTTCTATGTGGGACGCCTGCCACAGCATGGCGATGCTATGTCCGCACCTGGGATCCGAACCAGCAAACCCCAGGCCGCCAAAGAAGAACGTGCGCACTTAACCGCTGCACCACCGAGCCAGCCCCCCAAGCTCTTCTTACACATTAATTCAACCTAAGCAGAGGGAAGAGGCTTCTATGGAGCTCACAGTCACCTAAGAACTCAGAATTCCCACCTGTTATCCAAAAAGCTCAGGACACTTTTTAATGCAACCAAATTATTCTTAAAACACCTCCAAGTAGTTAAAGAAAAGTGGGAGGAGGAGGCAGCAAATCCCAGCCAGGGCACCGGCTGGCTGCCGTAGGTCCACGAGGTAGAGGGGATGCGAAGTCCCTCCTCAACGCCATCCCGTCACATTTACCTCCCAATACATCCTAGGGGTCTGGGAACCTGAATGCACAAAACAGAACAACTGCCTCAGGGCAGCAGAGAGAGGGCTGTCCCCACAAACCAAGCCGGCCTCACTCTGCAGCCTGTCAGGGGCCGGCCCTAAAGCTACCCTTTCTGGGGTAATGGGGAAGCGAACTCAGGTCAAGAAACAACCACTCAAAATCAGTTTTGCAACCAAGGAGCCACTCAGCCCTGGCTAATGAGCCACCCGCAGCACACCTGTGAGCAGCTAGAACCAAGCATGGGTCAGCATGAACACACAGGGTGTGCAACCTCTCCCTCCAGGACTCAATAAATCCAGCTTCTCAGAGGCAGGCCCAGAGTCCAGGGCCAGGGCCCAGCCGCCCCAGGCCAGCTCCAAGGCCCTCCACCTGCCCAGATGTGACTGTCACTTGAGCTCCTGCCCCCTGAGCCAGGGACAAGCACAAATCCAGTCACAGATCCATCCACCTGCCCAGACGCCTCACAGAGATCAGAGAACTCCCAGGCACGTCCTGCTGCCAAAGCAGAGGTGCTTCTTAATGCTCGGCGCCTCTCTCCCAGAAACAAGCAGAATCTGAGAAGCCCAGGCACTCTCGTGAGTCCTCCACAACAAGAAGTGCCCTTCATCCAGCGGCGCACACATTTAAACTCACAGATGAAACCGTCTCGAGCCATCTGCCAAGGTCAACAAGGAAGGTGGAGTGGTGGGGTGGACGTGGGTTCCAATCCCAGCTTTGCTTCCTATTAGCTGTGTGACCTTGACCAAGTTACTTAACCTCTCTCAGCTCCCACTGCCTCGCCTCAAAATTGCGAAGAATATTACTGCTTTGCAACGAAAACTAAATGAGACAATGTCTGTTAGATGCTTGGCAAGTGGTAGGTGGTAATGAACACTGTTTTCTCTTCCCCTTGTCTGGCTTAAAAATAGAAACGCTCCTCTTTGGGCAGCTGGATAGCAGCCCTAACAAACAAGAAAAGTACTCATACTTGCATCTCCCATGCCATCTCTCCTGGAGCCTAGTTTCCAGAAAAAAACCCACCCGGTAATTTGCAGTATTAGGAAACACAACCGCAAGTTCACCCGGCTTCTTAGATTCCAAACGAAACCTCCAACTGCAAGTCATTTTAATCAGAGCCCTCTGAACCACTAAGCAGCCCTTGCCTGGAGCCCACACTGCCTCTCTCCAGCTCCTCCTCCCCCAAAACAGCACAGTTTCCCCCTAAAAACCTGCAAGAAGAACCTAAGACAGTTGGGTGATCAATACTCAGTATTTCAGGCTCAGCAGCCTAATTTGATAAGATGGTCTGGAAAATACTGGCATTTCCTCAACGTCCAGGTGACCGAGGACATTGGGTAACGCTCCAGCTTCCTCTGACACTAGCAAGGTTAGAACCAAAGGGGATGAAGGTAGGAGGGAGGAAGATGCTGAATTTCCCGACCAGCAACTCCCCTAGCACAGAGCCCACCGAGATTGTGGCAGCTGCACCTCTGGCTGCTCTGCCCGGCTTTCCAGTACCATCCAAGGAACAAGGCAGCACCCGCACCACACCCTGCCCCAGGCCCCAGAAATTTTAGGAAATCGTCCTACCTTGTCAGGTTCCTAGGCCAGAGCATTTCACTACATCGTGGTCTTTAGAGAAAGCGGACAAAGAAGCTGAATGGATCTCATGATGGCAACTCGTCAGCCGCAGGGAGCCAGAGCTGAGCCGGAGCCAGCCCACGCCGGACCAGGGAATCCCAGGCGCCCACCCGACAACTCTTTGACTAAAGGACCCGCTGGAGAGGGATCGCCATCCCCCTGCCAGGGAAAGAAATCCGATCCGCCAACAAAATTAACCCCTGAAGTGCTGAGGGAGCGAGAGGTCAGGCCTGAGTGCCAGTATCAAGTCAGCTGTGAAAAGTTTCAGCAAAGCAAAAGCTAACAGCAAACTCTGCAGCCGTTACCGTAAAGCTCCGAGCGGGAGGGCCCTCGCCATGGTCCCAGGGGAGTCTGTAAGAGCAGGGCAAGGTGAGTAAAAGCTAAATGTGAAAAAATATTTTGAATTCCCACGAACTGTGCTAAAATGCTGGAGGAAGTCTTTTAAGCCCAAAGGGCTGCTTTTAATCATGACACAAAAAGCATTGACAGTAACACTTCTTAGCTCTTTCCATGGACTACTGACTGCAAAGCGCTTGACTGCAATTTAGCCCAGAGAACTTCTGAGCCCAAAAGGAGAAAAGACATCTATTTGTACAGTTAATAATGACATACATTGTTTCCGGTGATGTCAATTTTGATGCAATGCCAACGAAAATATGCATTAATTCCTCATGCTACCTATTATTATTATTGTTAAAGACTCTCCGTCTGTGTATGGCTACTCTAAACATTACGGTACAGCATCTGGGAGGGGAGGTGGGACGTGAGAGCCCCAGCACTGGGATGGGAAGGGGTTGCACCACTAATCCCTCTTAAAGCCTGCAATCAAGGAGTTCAGAAGGAACCTTGTAAACAGATGCTTCTAACAATGAACAACTGTTTTACTACTGAGAATTCAAAAGCAAAATTATGTTATAGCCACAAGCTTTTATTTCAAAATGAATTAGGACTAAGATGCTCTCCAAACCCCCTACTCCCTCTCCAAAAATTCTACCAGTTGGCTCCTGGCAGCTTTCAAAGACTTTCCTTGAGTAAGGCTCTCCCTCTGGCCTGGGCCGCCTCTCCAGCAGGAAGGGGGAGTAGGGTGTTGTGTGTGTTGGGTGGGGAGGGAGGTTAGGAAGGAAGCAATAACTGGCTCCAAGCAGGGTCTCTGTGTGGTCAGCATTTGCTCAGCAAACAGAAGCCTTTCAAAGGGGAATGAAGAGCCATTCCTCCCCCACCGAGAGAGAGTATAAAAGGTCAGCTGGGGAGGAAGCGAGGGTCTAGGGGGCTTCCCAGGTGAATGCAATGCAAACGTGTCCAGGAGCAGAGATTCTAATCTTGAAGGGGTCCCAACAGACGTTAATCATTCACATCTCACCCCTCAGGCCCTCCCCCGCCAGCATCTGCAAGGGGAGCGGGATGCGAGGCCAGGGCCCGGGAGGGGTGCATTTGGGGGGGTGGGTGGTTAGTCCAGATTTATTGAGAGACAAGAGTCAGGATGGACCCAAGCTCTGGCTGACAAAGCTGCTCTAAGCCATTTGTCTTCCCTTCTACGCTGTCCCTGGACTGAATTTAACCTTACGTCATGACTTGTTTGAAAATCTGGCTGACCTCTGGGTTAATTTGGGTGGAATGGGATGGTGACTATGTATATGGAGACATATACATAAACACAGACGTACAAATATATACATTTTAAAAAATTCCAATGTTGCTAGAGTTGTTCTTTGTTTTTAACGTAAAAAGCCAGATTAACTGCCAAGATAAACTAAGGGATGTCTATCCATTCATTTATTCATTCATTCAACTAACTGATACTTACTGAGCACCTGTTAATCACAGTTCTAAGTGCTAAGATACAGTCAGTAGTCAACAAAACAGACAAAAATTTCCATACTCTACTTGAACTTGCATTTAGTGCTAGACCTATAAAATAAATGAGACAAATGTAAATCATACAGTATGTTAGTGATAAATGCTAAGGAGAAAAAGTAATGTAGGGAAGAAGACGTGACTTGTCAAGGGGAGCTAGGGAAAGTCTGCTGAGGGGATGATTATTACTATAGACCCGAAGGAAGTGTGGGAGCTGATTATGTGGATCTCTGGGAGTAAGAGCCTTCCAAGAGAGTCAGTGCAAAGGTCCTGAGACAGGATATAACTTGCACGTTCATTCCAAGAACCCAGAGCCCAGTAAGGCTGGAGCAGAGTGAGCAGTGAAACAAAGAGAGCCTAGAGGAGGTCAGGTCAGAGGGACAAGGGGTACAGGGAGGGAGGGAGGAGGGTGCCTGAGGGGAGCCTGGCAAGTCACTGTAAGCATCTTGGTTTTTACTCCGGTACAAGATGCACCAGAGGGTGAATAAAGGAAGTTTCTCCTTGTATAAAAGTTCGTGTAAATCTCCTACAACACTAAATATATCATTTGGATTGTGCACAATTTTTACAAGGGTGAGTTTATTGCACAAGACAGTCTGCTTTAAGGGTCTCTCAGTCGCTTTCTGTGGTTAAAAGTAAGAATCCTGTCTTTAATAGGAAAATCTGAATTCTTTGCAGTTACAGGTTTGAATGTAGCTAGGGCTTTTCAACGCTAGGAGAGATAACAATCAGCGAGGCTAAGAGACCCAGCAACAGCAGGAGAGAAAAAAGGAAGGTAGGTCAACCCGCTCCAGGTAGGCAGATGCCCTTTGGTGCTTTTCAAAGAGCCCGTCTTGCCCTGTCGTTTCTCAACCTGATTTCTAAACAGGCCAAATTCCAAAGACCTTCTAGAACTCAGAACAGTTTTCTCCATAAAAACAATCTTATCAATGATGTTAAGGTTCCCAGGTTAACTTTGAGTCATTCTTTTTTTAACCAAAAAGTAGCTGAGAAAGTCTACCTAGGTATCAAAGAGTAGAAGAAAACCTTATTCTTGGAAATAGAGTATGTAATTAAAGAAACAGAAACCACTGAAATGAACCTAAAAAGATGTTCACTTATAATAACAAGCACTTTATTAAAACAAGACTCATGAAGACACTTTACTTCCTCCCCTCCAATATCATCCGTTTCTCCGTCTTTACTGAGAAATGTATCAGCCATCTCATGAAATACAACAAAATCTGCTCTGACCCATGCCCCTATTCTCCTCCATGACATGCTAGTCTGTGCTCCATGTGAGAGCAAAACACCTCAACGCAGCTGTCTGCACTCCAACACCTATGGCCCACTCTCTCCCACTCACCAGGCAGACTTGTGTCCCCGCTACTCCACTGAAACCACTTTCTGTTTCTCCTGAGAACATCAGTGGCTTATTTCTTGCCAAAGCCAATGGTCAATTCTCTAGGCTTACTCTGAGTTTTCAACAGCATCCAGCACCCCCAGCTTCTTGCTTCCTGAATGGGTCTCTTCTTGGTGTCCATCATCTGCAGCTGGTTTCTCCCCTTCACTGGCTGTGCCTCTGAGTGGCCTTTGCTCATCCTCCTCTCCTCTCCAGACCTCTAGGTTTCTGTCCCTAGTTCCCTTCTCTTCTCTACCTAGTCTTTTCCTAGGTGGTCTCATCCATGCCTTCAAATACTAGATATGTATGGACAACTCTGAACTTTGTTGCTCTAGCCTGGCCCCCTGTGAGTACTCAACACATCTCAAATCTCATGCACCTGATATAAAACTACTGCTTCCAACTTTCAGTGTGTCTGCACCCCTACTCCCAAAGTCCTCGCCATCTCAGTCAACGCATGACTATCTTTCTTTACTTCCTCCTTTATAATCCATCACCAAGTCCTTTTGGCTATACCTCCCCAACACACCTTGACCTGATCACCACTCACCATCTACAGTAAGATAACCTTGGTTATCATCTCTCTCCTCCAACACTCGGCCTTCCTCTTGCCTGCTGGATCCACCACACATCGATGACAGTGATCTTTCTCAAGTGGACCTCAGATCAGGTTACCTTTCTGCCTAAGACCCTCCAATAGCTGCCCAGGAACTTAGAATAAAATCTACATTTGTTCCCTTGGCATAGAAGAGATCCGGCTCCTGCCCACTCCCTCTGCCACTCCGCCCTGTCCCTCATCATGGTCAAATACAGGGTTCTCGTGGGCCCTCGAAGGCACCAGGTCTCCTCCCACTTCACAGGCTCTATGCTGTGGCTACTTCTACCTGAAAGGTTCTTCCCCACGTCTCCCATGGCTGCCTCCTTCCCATGGTTCAGGTCTTGGTTGGAATGTCACCTCCTCAGGGATGTCTCCCTAGACTCTGGCCTAGTAATTTTCCACCACATGATCTTCTTCATGGAACTTACCAGTCAGCACATTATCTTTTTTAGATCATGGAGGGGGGGGTGGTGTTTATTGTTTGCATTTTCCATTAAAAAAAACCAGCAAGGTCCTTGAGGACAGGAGTGCTGTCTGCTTTCGTTCTGAGTGATCTCCTCCAGTGCCTAGGGCACCGCTGATGTGGTCCTGGACCAACTCGTTATAGGAGGATAAAACAGGGAACTGAATGTTCTGTGTAGTCTCCTGGGGACTTTTGGTGCTTTCAAGGACTTTAGCTCAATGGTTCTTAATTTTTTATTTGGTCAGAGATCCATTTCCATTTGAGAACCTCATAGAAATGCAGGTCTGTCTCCCTGTAGAAAAATGTATATAGTCATGTGCTGCATAACAATGTTTCGGTCAATGACGATGGTGGTCCCATAAGATTAGTACCCAATAGCCTAGGTGTGCAGTAGGCTCTAGGTTTGTGTAGGCACACTCTATGATGTTCACACAGTGACGAAATTGCCTAACGATGCATTTCTCAGAACTTATCCCTGTCATTAAGCGAGCATGACTGTACAGACATTTTGTACACAGTTTCAGGGGATTCACCGACCTCCCGAAGCCTATCCAGAAACCCGAGGGTAAGGGCAGCTGCTTCTGAATTTTATGGCATTGACTTCATACAAGATCTAGTTTCACTTTGATACTATGATTCTTTGTTTTCTTAATTTGGGAGCCAGTCTGACCCTCATCGAGGTCGCTTTCTTCTGACTGGCTAATAACAGAACAAAGAGGGAAAAGAAGGAAGGAAGGCTCTCCTGGATGAACAAGAATGGGAAGAAAAGGGATTTAAAGATCTGTGAAAATGAGGAGCATCACATTGCTGCCGTGGAATTTTACGCAGTGTGGTCTGTAGTAGGCGGTGGGAAGGGCAGAAACACTCCAGCAGTCTTTAGCAAAGTCTTCAAAGTACGGCAGTTAACACTTGGGAGTTTGTGTTTTTTTAACAAAAATTAAAAGAAACTACGCATCTTTGGGGTGGAAAATCAACAATATTTAAAAATAGCCGCTTAGTGCCTAGGCTGCACCAGACAACAGACTGGACACTGGGAACATAAGGATGAGTAAAAGAAAGCGCCCCAGACCTGGTGGAGCTGGTTCCTCAGAGGAGCCGAACAAGGAAGATCATTCTGGATGTTACGTAAAAGTGATGAAGGAAATAAACAGTGCTGAGAAAGAGAGTCATGGGAGACACTTCCTTTTGAGAGAGCGGTCAAGAAGGGCATCTCAGGAAGCAACACTTAGGCTAAGATGTGAAAGATGAGAGGGATCCAGCCAGCCATGGAAGGAAGGAAGCCAGGCGTGTTCCAGGTGGAGGGGACGTCAAGTGCAAAGGCCGGAGGGAGTGAAGAGCTGTGTGTCTGAGGAACTGAAGGTGGCTCCCACACTTGGAGGCTGGGGTGAGGGGGAGGTTAACGGGAAAGAAAGTCATCCTCTGGAGAACTCCAAATCCTTCAGTAACAAGGGATGCAGAGAGGCGTCAACAAAGAGCTTTGGGGATCCAGTCAGGGTGACCCTGCATCTCCTGCCTTCTTTCCCCGTTTCCTCAGTTCTTTTCTGGGGCTCAGGACCTACAGGAAACGTGAGAAATCCCCCTTTCCTGTCGAGGGGCTCATGCAGAATCTGCTCCACTGGTCTTGGGCCCGGTTTATTCTTCACATTTACACAGACTGTGGATCCTGCCCTCCTTTTCCAGAAAGGAGGCGATACTGTCTTCTAATCTTATTCTAAAGACACAATAAGCTGTGTTTCAGCTTCAGTGTCTTATCTTGCGGAGCTGCAGTTTCTGTTACCTTCAACTGGTTAATTCCTAGGATTGTCTGCAGCCCACACGGTGGGTACTCGCACGTGAAAGCACACACACACTCCTCCATCCTTAAACAAAAGGCTTCATTCATCAGGCAGAGCATCCAATCTCTTATCCGTGTTTACTCCCCTCCCATTCTAAATCTGAAACCCGAGGCTTGTTAACAAAACCTTGGACAGAGCAGGCTGGAGAACACGACCGCAGGTGCCAGCATCTTCCGCAGAAAACCTCGAACCCAGACTTTCCGTCCTCAATGCAGCAACATCAGAGGTGCCTTTTCTAACAGGGTGCCAGTTGACTACAAACCAGCTCCAAAATGGCAGCACTTCCAAACAAAGGACGTGTGAGGCCAAAATTATTTTTATTGATAACAATAATTCAGATTTATAGATTTCACTGCCTATAAATCTCATCTAATTCTCAGAACTGTGCTAATGTGTATTACTATCCTTACGTTACAGGAAAACAAACTGGAACACAGAGAATTTAGATGACTTGCTCATTGTCATACAACTGCTAAGGGTCAGGTTGAAGCCCATGACTTCAGATGCCAAATCCTGGATTCCATGACACCACAGTGTTTAGGGTAGTGAACACTTTCAGGTCACTATGCTAATGGACGACACTAAGACATTTAGCGGCCAGAGCCATTACCGTTATCTCAGAGTCCTTTAGCTGATTCTAACACTTTTGGGCTTGGTCTAATTTAGATACACCCTTTCACCAAATTGCATGATATAATGGATTCTTCTGTATTTCCAGTGACTGTTCTCTTTAAAATATTAGCCAGGTGTTGACTAGCATGTGCCAGGCATGGTGCTTGTGGGATACAAAAGAGAAAAGGTCTCTCTCTCCCCTCATGAAGCTTATAGTCTGGTATGTGTGGGAGTGTCAGGCAGTCAAATCGAAAATAAATATATTTAATTGAGCTGGCCATCACGGTGGCACAGCAGTTAAGTGCGCACGTTCTGCTTCGGTGGCCCGGGGTTCGCCGGTTCAGATCCCGGGTGAGGACATGGCACCGCTTGTCAAGCCATGCTGTGGTAGGCATCCCACATAAAAAGTAGAGGAAGACGGGCATGGATGTTAGCTCAGGGCCAGTCTTCCTCAGCAAAAAGAGGAGGATTGGCAGCAGATGTTAGCTCAGGGCTAATCTTCCTCAAAAAAACATTTACTCGCAAAGCAGGATACATGCCATGAAAGAAAAGAAGAGAAAGGTGTGAGCACATCTTATAGGGGAGAAGGGAAGATTACTGTCCATAAAGTCAGAAAATTCCGTGCCCAGGAATGCTGTGCTAGGCGGAAAGCTGACAATTTGGTGGAAAATTTAAAATTTGTGCCTAGATGTAGGTTTCTACATAGTAAAATCTAGATTATCCCATAAAACCCCATCCCAAGACCCTTGGCTAACAACAGCAGCCACAAAATTCCTTTGTCATTGTCCCCACAGCCGGTGAGAAGTGGCAGTGGATTAGGAATTTGGTCCGGCAGGCGTTTCAGGGAACAATTCAGAGCTGGGCTTTGCTGCGTCTTTGGTCATGTTAACAAGACTGCGTATTTACAAGTAACTACCAAGAAAACTCAAAGAGGTGAACTCACGTGGTGATTTGGTCTTTTAAAAAAATTAAAGGAAACTAAAAATAATATCACTGGCTATAAGAAGTATTTTTATAATGGTGTTGTGGATATGTAGGGAGAATTCTGAGAGTTTGAATATTTATTTTTGCAGCTGCACTGTTATCTCTATTAAGATGGATGGGTAATGAAAAAAAAGCGGCCAGAGCCGCTTTCTGGCATTTCTAATGTGGCTGCAGCTGTGAGGACATCCTTGAGTGTGTCCACTGCAGGGTGAGATAATGAGGGAGGGGGTGGGGGCGGGGATCAGAGAGGAAGCAAGCAGGTGCTTATCAGGGGCAGCCTGGAGCAGACTGAGTTAAGCCAACGGTTAGGGGTGTCTGGTCTCACTTCGCCTCAAGCAGCTGAAGTTCTCGCGCTGGCCCAGGTCACGCAGCTCTCACACTTGAAGGCGCGCTGCAGCGCGGGGGAGAGGACACTGTCTCAGATGGCTTGTCTGTTCAGGGAGCTGAATGCCACCCCAGAGGGTCTCTAAGACCCCTCCAGGCAGGAACATTTTGTAAGTCTACACCCTTACATCTCCTACTGAAATCCCTTTTCAAAGGAAAATTCCTTTGTCTTGTGATTTGACTCGTGCTCCATCTGTCCCCTGCTGGGGCCAGCCCCTGGCTTTACTGTAGACTCTCTAGGTGTCAGGTTCTGGATGAGCGCTGTAGAGACCCCCTCCACAGAACCCTGCCGACAACCCCTTGAGGTAGCGGTCTCGTAAGAAAACCTGTTCTGTACCCTAGCTTTGGGATTTCATTATTCCCCTTCTGAGTTTACAGTCACTATAAAATAGGTTCACAAAATCTTCCACAATCTCTAAACCATAATCTTGTCTAAGTCAAAAGGAAAAAAAAAAGTTAGTTTGGCCAAGAGCCTGACTCATTCTAGGTATTTGCCTAGTGGGGAGGCTCGCTGAAAAGTCACAGACTGGTTAAGAATTAAACTCCTTCCACCTGACCATTAGTCTCCAAGAGAAAACCGTTCTGAATGGGGGAAGAGAACTAAAGCATAATGAGTGGCAGAGTAAGTGCTTACAAATTTCGCTGCGGGTACTGAAGGCCAACTGTGTGTGGGGACGTACCCCGCCGATATCAAAACTCACAATACTCCAGGAAAATAGATTATATTTATCCCCAACTCGCAGATGATCTGCAATTCCAAGAGGTTAGGTGAGCTGCTCAAGGTCACAGAGCTCACAAGCGCTAAAGAACCAGTCCGCCCGAGTCATAAGTCAGTGTCCTTCTTGGGATTTTTTTAAGCTCTCACTTTTATTGAGTTCTTATCATGGTGGTTACTGTGCTCGATTCTCTGGTCTTAGTTAATCCTTCTGACATTTCCTGTGTAGTAGGTATTACCGTCCGCTGTGACGTAGGTGTTACCATCCCCAATATACCTGAGGATATTAAGAAGCAGTGGGTTAAGTAACTTGCCCAAGGCCACGCTGCTGGTAAGACCCCACTAAGCAGGGCCCTTGATTGAAGCCTCCTTCACCACCTCTGAATTCTTCCTTCAGCCTGGTACTTGGCACAGGGGGCACGATTTTCTTGACCTCACCAATAGGCACTTCACCAGTCGAGCATTAGCAGTGCATTGACAACCACCTTTACCCACAGGGCCTTTTTTCTTCCCTTCCTCCAGTGAGTGACTCCATGGTAGGTAATGTCAAGGCAGTGCCAGTTCCATACTTTCATTTAACTTCACAAAGAAAGATAAGAACTCTCATTCATTTCAGAGCGCAATGCAAACTGACACTACATGTGCAGGCTCAGCTGCAGGCAGCTAGCTGGACCTACACAGCAACTCCATTCTTCAGCCAACCTTCTCCCAAACGTGGTACGCGGAACAATGGAGTATGGAGACGAAAAGTGTGTGAATGGTTCAGGGCAGCCCCATCCCCAGTAGCCCGAACAGACTGGAGACTATGTTCTTCTACAGAGCCTC